TGGCAATCTCCCTTCTAATCTCTGACTAATACTTCTAATCGGAAATACAAAGTTCGTTACTCACATGTACGCAAATCAATCAGGATAATTATTGCGGTGCAATTAATTTAAAAAGTAATTCTAGATTTGAATAATTTAGTCAACATTTACTATTCTTTTTACGGTTGCGTCATAAACATTTTGATACAATATTGTGCAACTATTTAAGTTTGTTAACTAAAATTTTAACGAACGGTTTTAATCGCAGCTACTTTCTACACATTTAATTTTAAAATATTTTGTAAGACATTGACAGAGTTTTATGTAAAGCGTACTTTTGTTAATGACCTTTCAATAAGGGCCTGTTCATTCTATTTAATTATTATTATTTTATTTCTCAAAAAAATAAAGACTACTGCTTTTAAGATTTTGATACATGTATATTAAACCGTGGTATAAAACACGTGCTTAAATATTTGTACAGCAGAATTTTTCTAACATTATATCATCTTAATAATCTTCATGGAGCGTATAATTTTTACAATGAATATTAATTCTTTAGGAGATCATGTTGATTTTATAAGGTGATTATCATGCAACTTCATAAAAAATCAGATATTCTTCCAGTCACGGTATTTCGACTTGCAATAAAAACAAGTAATGGAGAACCATTAAACACCGTGGTAAGTATCATATGCATAAAACATAAGTATATGAAATACTTCTTATGACAATCTAATAATGACTGCAGTACTTTACTACAAAGCACGAAGCGCGTCCAGTAAGTTCCAAGCGTGCCAATACAACCACTCTTGCCGCCGCCACCACCGACAAGCCGAACAAATCAGACAAACCACGAGAGTGCCGTTGCTGCGCTGACACCCTCTACACTAGCTCTTGCCCTACGCTTTTGCAAAAATCGGTTTCCGAGAAGAGAAAATTCGTGCTCTCGGCGCAACTGTGCTTTAATTACTTGAGCCTTTCTCATCGTCAAGGCGAGTGCCTGTCCAAGTAGCGCTGCCGCGCTTGCTAAGAGAAACACCACACAGCTCTGCACCAGGACACACAACAATCTACAGCGTCGGACTCTTCGGCGAAGTGCACCCTGACCATGACATCAGACCAAGAGGGCTCCCAAGAGGACGTTGAGCAGGAGACCACCACCTGTGTAGTAGCCACTGGTAGCACGCGACTGCTGATTACCGCCATCGTGATTCTCGCGTCCCGGGACGGTCTAGGTGACGCAACATTCGTCTCCAAAGGCTGGATTGAGCTCAATATCAAGTCGAACTCCGACTCCACCTTCAACATGCCTTACAAGGCGCTAGCTTTGAAGCTAGCCGACCCTACTGCGGTGCTCCTGGACGAGTCGACTGCCTGCTTGGATCCGAGGTTCTATCAGCCACCCTACGCCCAGGATTCATCGCTAGCCTGTTCGGATCTCCCTCAGCCTTCAACACGACTTTCGGCTGGGTACTGCCCGATCGGTGGAACTGCCCGACGCCGTGTGAGGCAACAACAATGCAAACATTCACCATTACAGTAGACAGGAAGGTTTCTCTGTCTATTCAACGATTTTGAGAAATTGAGGAGTCCCCTACCTCCAAAAGGCTTTCCCCAAGAGACGCCAAGTGTACCGAGCACTTCGAGTCTACTGTCAGGCGTGACTCAGGCTGCCTTTTACTGACGTTTTGAGAGTTTTAGGCTCCAGAGAGACTGTCTTTTCTTGCCCTAGAGAAGCGCTTGAATAAAAACGATGCTTCGAACCAGACATCCGGTTACTTCATGAAACAGTATGAGGATGCAGAACACATAGTCCTTATCCCACACGAGCAGAAATCTGCTGAGCCGTCCATTTACATACCATGGTGCTGCACGACGGCTCTTGTGCCAAGATTCGCGTTGTGTTCAACGCCTCCTCCATGGATGCCTCAGGCCGCGCCTTTAACAACTACATTCAGACGGGGCCGAACCTTCTGGCCGGCCTACAAGCCGTGCTTTTACAGTGGCGGCTGTTCAAGATCGTTTTTATCTGCAATATCGTAAAAATGTTTCGCCAATTCCTCGTCGACACTGCTGACGTAGACTAGCAGAGGATAGTGTGGCACGAGAAACCAGGAATCGCTATTCAACACTATTGGCTCAGCACTGTACCCTACGGCATGGTTTCTGCCTCCTACTGGGCAAACGCCTGTATGATGGCCCTAGCTACTTAAGAGGCACATAACTTTCCACTCGGATCGTCCGCTATCATTCACATGCTTATTATATCGACGACTTTTCTGTGGGCAACGACACCGAGCGTGGTCTTTGTCGGTGTGCCTAAAAATTGATCGGCATCACTGCCTCAGTAAGTATGTCCGTTGGCAAGTGGTCATCCAATTCCAAACAGATACGGCACCTCCTCGCTCCTGCTGCTCCCACGTCTGTCAAGCTTTCACTACCAGTCGACACTGCCATGCTTACGCTTGGCCTGCTTTGGAACCCGATCCAAGACGCATTGCACTACAAGGTGAGCGGGGCCCCCATCAATGACTATATAATCACCAAACGACAGATCCTGACCGAGATAGCCAGGCTCTACGACCTGCTGGGCTTTCTCACTCTAGTAATCATACGGGGTAAGATCATCCTGCAAGGCCTTTGGCTTACAGGTGTAGACTGGGATCATCCACTCGACATCAACTTGCTCAAGTACTGGAAGGAGTTCCAAGCCGATCTTTTCTCTCTGTCCAGGCTTCGAGTTACTTGGTGGCTTGGGATTGCAGATCGAGCGACTCTCGGACTTCACGGCTTCTCGTACGCCTCCTAGAAAGTGTAAGCCGCCTATATATACCTCATGGTATGCACTGGCGCCGATTGCCAGTCTCACATCCTTATGGCTAAGTCGAAGGTCTTAAAGTGTTGAGCTTCTGCAATTTGTACTTATGGAAGTTGTCCTGAATGTGACTGAGGCCCACTGCTGGACGGACTCTCAAGTTGCTCTCGCTTTGCTCCGTAGACATCCAGCCCGACGGAAGACTTTTACAGCTAATTGGGTCAGTGATATCCATATCCTCTTGCCTTTGATCACCTGGCGTCACGTACCAACCAGCCAGAATCCGGCCTACTGTGCCTCCTGGGACTGCTCCATCGCTCAACTTCATGATCACACAATTTGGTGGGATGGGAATCGTGGCTGACACAGCCGCAGTCGCACTGGCCCGCTCCCCCCGAGCAGGAGCCCATCACGGACTTGGAGGCCTGCGTAAGAGGCACCTTCGTCACCATCACAGAAGACGCGTCTTACTAATAGGAGTGGCTCTCCTCTCATTCGTCACTTAACAAACCCGTCCGGATTTTAGCCTATATTCATTGATTTAAGGCAAGGTCAACTAATCAACAATGGTGACCTGCACCCGGGCTCACGGCTGCTGAAATCAGCGTTGGGATATACTGCTTTCCAGATTTGGAAATTCTCTAGGCCTAACCTTCCTGACGTGGAAAATAACTAGAATCAAGATCTAAAAAGGTTGTAAATACACTAGACAGTACCGGCAAAGCGCGAAAATTCGAAACTACTAAATTAATAACATAATCACCCATAACCCGATGAACCAGGGTACTTACCGACCACTTTGATAAATAAATATTTGTTTATTTATAATCCAAGCGCCTGTCACCTGATGACCCAGGGCACTTACTGGCCTCTCTAATAAATAATAATTTGTTTATTGTTAACCCAAGTGCCTATCACATGATGACCCAGAGCACTTACTGGCCACTCTAATAATTAATACATTTTAATTAATAATGACCTAAACGCCTTTCACCCGATGACCCAGGACGCTTACTGGCCAAACTGATGAATAATAATTTATTTTTCAGCCCTCAGGTGGTTTTGGGAAGCTGCAGCCGGCTCGTACTTCCTCGGGCAAAAAAGCAGTTTTCCGATACTCGTTCGAAGAGTCTCCTTTACGAACCTCGTTACGGACCTCGCCTTCGGCTCGGGCCACAAACCTCTCGGTTCACAAACAAAGACTTTTCAAACTCATAGGAAAACTACTATTTCGCAATAGTGAGCGGAAAATATGCGTTTTCCACACTGATATTCGTGTGAAAAACCAATTTTCCCACATAGTGTGTGGAAAAGGTGTGTGGCAAGGGTTTTTCCCCACAGTATGCAGTAAATGTGTGCGACAAAAACATTTTCCACAAACCTTATCCGCTCACTACGTGGGAAAAATCGATTTTCCACACTAATATCAGTGCGGAAAACACCTATTTTCCGCACACTTATTGCAAAAAAACTTGTACGCAACTCGTGCAGGACGATTTCCCGCACTTGTTACGAAAATAACGATATAATTAAACCAAGTGCCTATTACCCCATGACCTAGGGTGCTAACTGACTACTACATAAAATAAAAAATAAAATAACGGTTATCAATTACACAAGTGCCTAGCATCAAATTATCTGGAGCATCTAAATAATGTATATTTATCAACAAAAAAGCACTTATTCCAAAGATCTTGTGTATTTGACAAATAATTACAATATCAAATCGCAGATCTCACAACCTAGACGATGCGTTTTTAATTAACAGTAGTAAAAATTAATATTTTAATGTACACAATCAACCTCGTTTTATTAAAGCCTTCCAATTAATAAATAATTAAGTTCATAATTTTGTTACAGATGTTTTTATCCTAAGTACATAAGGCCTTCAAATCGTTGAGTTTAAAATAACTAATGTTATTAACACATTAAAAATATCCCTCACTAATATAATGTTGTATAATAGGACAATAAAAGCTCTTGTTTTTGATTTTTAATCTTTATTATTTTAATCAAATAACTTCTCTATAATCAAATAATTTTTTTTCAATTAATAAAGTGTCCAGTGAGCACCCCAGGTAATTAATTGTAGTGTTATTAATTAACAGTCTATTATTTATTAGAGTGGCCAGTAAGCGCCCCGGGTCATCATGTGTTAAGCGCTTGGGTTAATAATAAACAAATTATTATAAATCGCCGCTGGATGCACATATCTGTGGCGCTCAATTCAGCAGCTGGAATTTACGAGTACAAAGCACTGCTGTCCAACCAGCCTATCAGCCCTTTGAATCGCCTTCGCGAGTCGACTCCGTTCATAGACATCGAGTATGTAATTCGAGTAGGAGGACGGCTGCAGAATGCGGCCCTTGTGGAGACAGAGAAATACCCGATAATCTTGCTGGCCAAGCACCAAGCAACCTTGCTCTTGGTCCGAGAAATGCACCTGGCGATACTTCCCGGTGGCCCTTTTCTCACGTTCAGCTCCCTTAACAGGCAATTTTGGCTTCTCCAGGGACGAAACACCTTTCGACGTATCATGCGCCAATGTGTGACGTACGCAAGGCACAGGGCCAGTACCATAAGTCAACTGATGGGCTCTTTGCCCACACCGCGAGTTCAGCCGACTCACTCCTTTACCAACGTCGGGGTGGATTACGCCGGCCCCTTTTGGTACAAGGCCTCTTCCAGCTGAGGCAGAAAAGCATTGAAGGGCTACTTAGCCATCTTTGTGTGCCTTTCTACCCGGGCTGTGCACCTAAAAGTAGTCTCTGACTATTTGTCATCTGCGTTCCTTGCCGCCTTTCGTTGTTTCACGGCACGACGAGGACTGTGTGCACTCTACAGCGATAACGGTACTCTTTTTCAAGGAGCGAACTCCGAGCTTCATCGTATATTCCGTCAGGACTCTGCCTTAAGTTAAGAGGCCGCTACCGCAGTAGCTTTCAAGGGAGTCGAATAGCATTTTATACCCCCGGGCGCACCTCACTTTGGCGGCTTGTGGGAGGTAGCCGTCAAACCGTGTAAAGTTCATTTGAGACAGCTGCTTACTTACATATGAGCAGGCTCACGACGCAGCTGGAGGTTTGCCTCAACTCTCAACCGATCAGTTCGATCAGCTCCAGCGAGGAGGATCCGGCTCCTCTGACTCCAGGCCACTTCCAATATGCAGGCAATAACTGGCACAAGGAGTGCCCTAACCTCAGCTGAACGATATCATCCTCGTTAAAAATGAGCGTCAACCCCCCAGCAAGTGGTTCATGAGCTGGATCGTGAAGGTTTACCTTGGCGATAATGGACTAGTTCCAGAAGCAAAGGTCGAAACAGCCAGTTCTATGTTCAAGCGCTCTGTTAACAAGCTAGTTGTGCTACCGTCCGCACCAAGGTTCAATGAGCTCTTTGAGCAAGAGCGTCGCTTCACGGTGGGCGGTGACACGACCGAAGAAAGTGCTGAACAACTTTAATCGTTATACTAATTTCCATTTCTTTGTATATTAACTTCGGCCAGCTAACTCCTTTTTCGAAATTATTGTAAATCACGAATTTGATAAATTTCTTTTTCTTGAAAAAGGTTATACATTGTTAGTCTTCGTAGATTTATCGAATTTGAGGCTAGCTGGAACCCAGGGTCTAACCGTTTGTTTAAACATGCATTGCAACGTTCAGCGGAGAGTATGTTACAGCCGTATTTTGCGGTATTTTGAAATTTCCGAGTTTCCATGAGAGAGGTCTCATCGATCCAATCGATAATCAATTTCTTGGCTTGCACGCCCCCCGTGATAAGATCGCGGAAAAATAGTGTACGAGAACAAAAGAACACGTGGCCGCGAGTCTGATAAAAAGAGTAAAGCAAATCGGCTCACGAACGCTACCTTGCCACGCTCGTTACTTCTCGCTTAAGTTCTCCGACAAGTTGCCCCCGCCGTACTTGCACGCGCATTAATTTAGTTCTGTGTTGTTGTCCCAGCTTGACCCAGCGAGTGTGCGTATAATTTATAATCAACGCCCAATCATTGGCGCGAACAACTGTTTTAGTTAATTACAGTAGAGATGAATGAATATCTACTGTTAATAAAAAATTTTGACTGTGTTCCTCTATTGTATTCGATGTACATTGAAGTAGTTTAATTGGGTATTTAAGTAAAGCATCAGTAATTGTTATATCAGATCCGAGATAAATTAAGTATCAAAATCAACACATAGGTATTCAAGCAACATCATCTTATCCTTGGCAATCAATACAATGTCTTACATAGTATATTGTAACACAAAATATTTTAATTCAATATAAGTTACTTTTAAAGTATAAAATGACATGATTTATAATTTAAAACATAAAATAAAGTAGCTATATTAAATCACACAACATTTAATCTGTGATAATGTATTAAGGAGTTGATGAGCGAAGCGCGCAGGGGACAGCCCTATTCATATATATACACACACTTTATTTTATATTTTAAATTATGTCATGTTATTTTATACTTTTATAGTTAAATATTTACCTGATTGTCGTTGAGGGTTGAAACTGACACCTCTTACGTGAAATTCAATGTGCTTTCTAATGGCATAGTTAAATTAAATGTAGCATTAACCGTTTTGAAGATAAAAACTTTATTTTCTGGTAAAAATTTATTTGGTTATGATTAATTTTCTATTCTGATCCTCGGACCGGTGTTACCCATATAAACATGATTTCACACTACTTTAAGCTTGTTATCACATAATAAATATCAATTTAAGTTGCTATTTATTCAAATTAGTACCTTGCACAGTGACTCTGCGTTATTGAGTTACGTTTACTAACTTCGTTGATTATGGTGTATGATTCGTTTGTAGGTTACTGTACATCTGACTTGTCAATTTGTAATGTTAATTGTTATTGTTTTAGAGACAGCGATTTGCTGTTACGTGCATTAAACGCCAATTTGAAAAGAAAAAGCCAAGTTGTATGTGTACAAAAATTTTACATAACTTTATTTGACATTTATTTTTTTGGGGTGTTTTGTAAATAATTTCTCTTGCTATTAATACTACGACCATGTGTTACAAAAGAACTGCATTGAATTTTCGTGGAAAAATATTTCTTGCGCTCGCGATTGCAGGTGCAGTGAACTTGGATCGCGACATCGCACTACCTTTCATGTTCCTAGCCCATTAGAACTCTAATATTGATCCTACCATTCTAATGCTCTGAATTTTTACCTGCCCTATATTGATGCACTCTAATAAAAACCTATACAAAATTCATTGGTTTTACGGTATAATTTTTTTCTTGGTTTCTTATCGGTATTTGCACCTGTAAATCCAGATAAAAATGTAATGTTCAAAAATAAATTTTCTTCATCGTTTATTGTATTTAGGACATGATTGACCAAAAAAATTGACTAATCTAGGTCCTATAATCCGGATGGCAACACTAAAACAGGGGGAACTAAAATATTTTACACGTAAATTGTAAAAAAAAGTTAGTTATTAATTTTTATTCAAATTTCGTAAAAAATACTTTAGCCCCCCCGTTTTGAGGTTACCGATGAAACAAATGAATTTTTTATTGGTTTTTGGGTTATTGGGTTATTAAATGGGTGTGGAACTTAGTATCGAATTTAACACAATCTTCTCGAAAATATGTGTATTGCATAAATCACAGCCTACATCCCTTATTCAATTCAACGTCAATGCAGTAAGGACATTATGATGGAACATATACGATTGTAGATTTTTTGGATATACTCGTCCTGCCGAGACATCTTGTTTGCTGTGCTATGATTTTATACAAGACTGGAAACATTGTATCACTCAGCATATTATTTATTTATTATTCTAGTGAAAGCTTTTACACAGCTTATTTGGGAATACATGGACTGCATGACTTGCTGTCAGTATTCTTTAGCTATTTATTTAATTGCAGTTAGGATATTATCATCAAACATAATATTGCAGATTTTTTGGATACTCGTCCTGCCGAGCCATCTTATTTGCTTTGTTGTTATTTAATTCAAGTCCAAATACATGACATCACTCAGCATTTTATTTCTATGTTTCTATGGTTAAAGTTTTTCAGTCGAGCATAAATTGAGTATGACAACATCAATAAAACTAATCAAATTTCCAATTTTTTTCAATTTCTTTTCCTGCTCTTCAAGCCAAACTACTCAAGTGATTTTACACAGTTTATTTAAGAGTACATTGACTGCATGACTTGCTGTCAGTATTCTTTAGCTATTTATTTAATTCTAAGTCGATGCAGTTAGGATATTATCATTAAACATAAGATTGCCGATTTTTCGGTTACTCGTCCAAAACGTTGCTCAGCCAAAAATTGAACCAATTTCATTTATTGGCTTTGCTAAAATTAAAAAAAATTTTTTTTTGGCTGTGCCAAGATTTGATAAAACGCTTTTGTTTCCACTGATAGAACTTTAAAATTTCGTAATATAGAACAAATCCAACTAAAACGTAGTATCACGTCCACGATAACTAATGCACACACATAACCTTTTTTACTATGATGATATTATTGTGGATACCCAGTTGATTTAACATTGAAATTGACTGCAATGTTACGGCCGAAGAGGCCTTGTACCAAAAGGGGCCGGCGTAATCCACCCCGACGTTGGTAAAGGAGTGAGTCGGCTGAACTCGCGGTGTGGGCAAAGAGCCCATCAGTTGACTTATGGTACTGGCCCTGTGCCTTGCGTACGTCACACATTGGCGCATGATACGTCGAAAGGTGTTTCGTCCCTGGAGAAGCCAAAATTGCCTGTTAAGGGAGCTGAACGTGAGAAAAGGGCCACCGGGAAGTATCGCCAGGTGCATTTCTCGGACCAAGAGCAAGGTTGCTTGGTGCTTGGCCAGCAAGATTATCGGGTATTTCTCTGTCTCCACAAGGGCCGCATTCTGCAGCCGTCCTCCTACTCGAATTACATACTCGATGTCTATGAACGGAGTCGACTCGCGAAGGCGATTCAAAGGGCTGATAGGCTGGTTGGACAGCAGTGCTTTGTACTCGTAAATTCCAGCTGCTGAATTGAGCGCCACAGATATGTGCATCCAGCGGCGATTTATAGTAATTTGTTTATTATTAACCCAAGCGCTTAACACATGATGACCCGGGGCGCTTACTGGCCACTCTAATAAATAATAGACTGTTAATTAATAACACTACAATTAATAACCTGGGGTGCTCACAGTACTGTATTTATGCACAAATTTCTCACTAAGTTCAACCATCGTGAGTACTAAACTACGTATTGTTTTTTTTTTTTTCATTCGTTTAATAAGTTTTTGTTTTAGTAAACAACATGAATGCAGTACTAACGTTTACAGAGCTTTGTTCTTCCTGTGGGTCTAGCGACATCCTTGTTACCTGAGAAATTGTTTCCATACCCATCTCTCGTTTAAAGAACTTTGTTCTTACCGTGGGTCCCATGACCCATTATTACCCCCTGGTTTGTTGTTTTAATTTCCTTTATAATTTTTTCATTTGNTAAGGCCCATGTAGTACTCATTGAAAGTAGAGAGTTTCAAGCGATAATGTTTTGCAATTTTTATTGTATAAATGTATCTAACTACGACCTGTCAGCACATTCTTAGAAGCGTTGTGGTAGATGGTTGCTAATAAATGCCAGCATAAAAAAAAAGTTTGATGTTTATACTTTAATTTAAAAAAAAAATTTTTTTTTTCACTTACTT